TGTAAAGTGAGCTAATATGGCAAATACAGCATTTTTAGCTTCCTAACTGCCATATTCTGAGACGATGTTGGTATTCTTGTCTGAAACACTTGAAACTTTAGATTTTTTTTTGTCCAAGAACACAGTCCCATCCTTCCAGGTGACTGCATCAGATATTATTTCTGATGGTTCAACTAATCAAAGTGTCCCATTGAGTTTCAAATCCTCTTTGCTGGTGGGGTTTCCGGAGTCAGATTAGGACAAGACAAATGTCATCCCAACACCAAGAGCACTCTGTAAGACACCATACAGATATGGGTCCTTTGCTTGCGGTGTTTGTGTGTATGTATCTGTACAAGCTGCAAAGAAGCCCCGGTGTGAGCATCAGCAGACACGGGGATAAGAAAATAAAGCTCTGATACATGTTGCTCTGTGTTATGGGCAGAGAAAGTGTCAAGAACCTCAGTGTGTTTCAGCTGTAGCGCGAAACCTTTGTTCTTAGTGTTTAACTTCCACTGCCAGTGAGTGTGTGCTCTCAATGTGGAGTAAAGCACATAGTGAGAGCAAACTTTGTGTCGACGTCTTTGCATAAAATACTGAACATGATTCTGCTTTAACTGAGAAGCTCTGCAATCTAATCTAGTCAGTGTAGCCAAATCACTGTGGTGTCTCTGTTTGCAGTGCTGCACCATAGCTCCTCTGTGTATTGCAAACACAGACAGCTGCAACGTTTTTTAGCAGAGCAAATTTAGATTTCTATTGCTGACCCCAAGGCTGCTTCTTAGAATGCAGTGCACCTCCCCCACTAACAACCACATTCACTTTAGTTTTTTTTTTTTTTAACTCTCTCTCTTCCGTCTTATTATACTTATTTGCACTTGCTCGATGTATTAAACATTGGAAGGAAATGCTTAGAGCAAATTAATTAATTACATGCAAAACTAAAATCTGTCAAAAACAAATATGGATTTACAGAGAAAAAAAATGAAAATTTTGGGTCAACATGAGTTCATGTAAAGATGCAGATTTACATGAACAGATTTATTTTTTATTTTTTTTTCTAAACTTGGAAATGTCCACTGGAGATGTTACAGCACTCCTGTAAATTAGGTTGAGTTACAGTCCGTTTAGGACTTAGATTTGATCATGCCATTGTGTTCATGCCATCATGAACAAAATATCCATTCATCCATCCATCCGTCCATCTAAGCTTATCTGGGATTAGGCACGTTCAAGAAATCCAGACGTCAAACTCTTTATCTTTTATTACAAGATTTCAAATATGTATAGCCCCTCCAGCAAGTTCTGGTTCTGCCACGGGGGTCCCAATCGACCGTGCACAAAAAATATGCAGCAGTAAGTTCTGTTTTTTTTTTTTTTCACACATTTAGTTACATATATATTTCAATGGAGTTCAAATTTTTTTCAATAAACCAAAATACGCAAAAGCCAATTATTGTGAAGTCAACGGAAAGTCATACATTTCCTTTTTTTGTGTGAATAGATAGGAATATGAATAGTGTGATTCATGTGTTTTATTGAACCTCCATGAATCAATACGTTTAAATCTTTCTTCATTGGAATAAGGTCTGAACTTCATCTTGGCCATTCCATCATGCATAGAGCCTGTAATGGATTTTTGTTTTTCCATCTATTCATTTGATGGATCTATCCATTAAGTCTGACCCTTCCATCTTTTAATTGTGCCCTGTCTGAATAAAAGTAACTGTACAACATAATACTGACACCACTTTGTCTGCTGTGTTCAGGGTGATGTGCAGTTTGTTTTCTGCTATCTAGAACATTTTACTTGTAGGCCAGAAAGTTCAGTTTTGGTCTCATCTGACCAGAGCACATTACTCCACTTTTGCATTGTTCCTTAAATATTTTGTGACAGATTTCAAATCAGACTGCTTATGGTTTTCTGTCAACATCTATCTCCTTGTTGGTCATACATTAGGCCACGTGTATCGTACAGAATTAGTAGATATTTTGAGAAGAAATGAATGTTGTTGAGGAGTATGTACACATTGACGGTTACCTGAACAACAGACTGAAACAGAGATGCAACAGTGAAGCTGGAGAGGCTGCCAGTCTACCTTTGAGCAACATAGAATAATACAAACATGCACATACATGCACTCATAACTAAGGGCAATTCAGCGAGACAGATTAATGTAACGGTCACGGTTTTTGTGTACCCAAGGATAATCTATGCATGCATAGGGATTTCATGCAAAGCCAATACAGAAAGACCCTAAGCTGTGATTTGAATCTTCTTGATGCATGGCAACATTGCCACCAACTGTGTCACTGTGCAGCCCATATGTTGCCTTATTTGATCAAATCCTATTAAAAAAAACAATTAACTTCTGTGGTTGTGTCTAACAAAATGGGAAAAATTCAAGTAGTGTAAAAACTTCTGTAAAGCCCTTTATAGCAACTTCGATGGCTTATTCATTTATCTTAAAAGTATAACGTACATAAAGGGAAGACCGATGCACTACTTGATCCTTATTCATTACATGACCTCAAAAAGTGAGAGTTTTATCTTAGTTGAAAGTGTTTTGGACCATAACTACGTGAGATAAGAAAAGCTTATTCAGGTGCGCTGTAAAGAAATTCATCACGGATGCAACCTTACAGTAAGCACTGCCATGCATTTTTCTGTGCTCCTATTTGCCTACAAAGTAATAATTACAAGAGATATCCCATGAAGAAAAAATCTGCCTTGTTAGTCAAATGGAAATTTTGATGTAACAGAATAGATACCTGCTGAGGGGATGACCAGACTGAAAGTATCAAGGTTTTTCTCTCATTGATTTGTCTTGTATTTCTGCTTTGTTCTGCTCATGAGGGTCAGGATGAGAGGCGTGCTACATACACTCAACAGGTTGCCACTCCATTATCATGCCAGCACAGAGAAACACAAGACTAACGACCATGTCTATCCATGCTTGCGCATACTGTCAGTGTAGGATCTGCTACTAATTTTACATTTCTGTTGTACTGGATCAGAGTACCTGGAGAAAACCCACACATGCTCAAAGAGAACATGAGGCATCAGGAAAGCTCCTCACAATGCAATTAGATGTAGTCTAGCAGTTAGCATAGTTTTATCAACCTTCACCGTGTGATTCAAAAGAGGGGTGGAGGGTGTTACATAGTAGTGTTAGTTATTCAGACAATCTCATCCTCTTTTTTTTGGACAAAATGAAGAGCAGCTCCTGATAGCATGCTTGAAATGCTTTGACTTCTAATTAGCACACTGTATTGGCTGGAGCGATGATGCTTGTCATATTTCATAACAGATCATTCCATTTGTTTCTTCCCACCTAGACTGTTATACAGACTGTAGCTTACTACTGCCATCATGGATGGCTTTTATCCTCTTCAAATGGAACATGTCCAGCTTTCAATGCAGACAAATGTATCTACTTTGGCTGCTTATTCTGTTCTTGGTGTCATATTTGTTCACGCTGTCATCTAATGTGCATATAATTATTTGCCATTGTATCCATATTGCTTACACTTTTGCATGTTACTTTTGTGTTTTATTGCACATTTTATGTGATAAATGGGCACGGAAAGGAACATATGGTTTCCCAATTTTTCTTGCAAAGAAAAATGTGCAATATATTCCAAGCTCCCAATGCAATATTTTTCTTTGTTGAAAACCAAAAAGCATATTCACAGCTTGATGCTGCCACTCTCTCTTTTACAATTTATATAGTATGTTTAGAGTGATATGCAGTTCTAGTTTTTTTTGTTTGTTTCTTTTTGCCACACAATTTTTTTTTTTATCTTACCATTTTATTATTTGCAACATGTTTGCTGTTCCACTTACATATCATGGAAAATTAACAGCAGAATTTTAAATTTGCATTGGCTTTATTTTTTCATAATTTATGTTCTCCTTAGAACGGCAAGTTGTCAATAGCTCCTCCTGTCTTAGTTGTCAATCTATGTAGCGCCTCCATAGTTAGTAATGATAATTTTCTGAGAATTACTTTTACTAACATTCAGTGAGAAAATTTAAAGATGTTGAGATAATTACTGTATTTACACTGAGATGGATAAAATAACACCTGAATTCAGTCACTTGCCACTGAGAGCAAACACTGAAATGCTTTTAATATAGTAAAATACCAAATAAAGTTCAAGGGGTCTAGGTTAATATTATGTCAAATATTAGCATATAAACAAGTTCATTGTACCAAGCTAAAGAACAAATTTCAGTGCAAACATTCCTTTTACTTTTAATGCACTGAATTTGTCAACTTGTGTATGTGTGTGTGTGTGTATACTCTTCAGTGTCGGTGTTTTTGTCGTAGGCTAATTGAGCAATTCGGTTGTGGGAGCAGTAGTGTTTAAGGTCATGGATCAGCCTGCTCCCATGGCTCTGTCAGAAAGATGCTGCTTTCATAATTACTCTGCTTTTATCTGTAGCGCAGCTAAAATGACTTCCAGACAAATGCACACGGAAAGCACAAACAAGCTCGAATACTGAAGAGTGAAATATTTAGATATTGCAAACTAACGCCCACGTTCAGCTGCATGCGTGAACAATTGCTTGCACACTAACACTTCCCCAACAATTTAAAGTCCTTTAATTTTATAGATGAGGCATTTTTGAAACCTCTTTCATGAACAATTGAATTCAGTCATGCGTGATGAGAATGCCTGTTGGGTCTTTCTGCCTGCACATATTCGTGTGTAGGCGACTGCATTTTATCAGACCGAGCAGCTTTTATCGCCGAACAACAATTTTAGATTAGATGTGATTGCTTGGTTCACATAACACATGCAACACTTTCATTTCTCAGCTATTTCAATGCTGATCCAAAACCAGCGGCCCAGTCTGGATATTTGCACAGGCACGCATATGTCCCTTTCAGTATCTGTGTGTGCATGTGTGCACGCACGCTTGCATGTTTGTGTGCATGTGCTTGCATGCTTGACTGCACATGTAACTTGAACAAACGCCAACACTGGTGGCCCTGTCTGTTTGTTTCACGCAGACGTTCTGTGAATGTGTGCCCAGCTCCTCTCAACTCAAACATCGTTGGTCAGACTCAGAAACCGCCAGGGAGACTCCGGCCAAGGTAAGGCCCAGTCTTCACGTTGCATAAAGTACTGGTTGGAAGGCTACATGAATATTGCACACAGTTTGGGCTGAGACTCATAATTGTGGCATGATAAATCAAGTTTCTGAAATAGCTCTTTGTTAAAGAAAATACCCTTGTTACAAAAGGTGAATGACCTGCAGTGGTGAGGACGGCGCAATCGACACACAAACCTTTTTGTCCAGTTCAGTGTCTTGATTGATTATAAAACTACCTTTAAAGGCTCAAGGTATTGCAGCATTCTTACCCTTGATGAGTGACTTTTAGTGAGTGTTTTTCAGTCTGACTTCACAAAACATAACTAAAGAACTTACAGGGCATAATATATTATGTCCCATAAGTTCTTAGAGATAAACCAAACATGGTTTTAAAAGAAAAGCATATTGTTTGAGAAGCTTTAATGAGAAAATATTTGATATATTTTAAAAGGGAAAGATTAACATAGAAAAGAAACATCAAGTAATATCCTTGTATTCAAACTGATAAAATGCAGCATGATGTGGAATGAATCCCTTCATTGTTCCATGTGTTCTTCTTTATTGTTGGTATGTATTCCTCCCCTTTCCTGTCAGTAAAAAAGGAGGCACTCAATGAAAAGTGACTGGCTCAGGTGCAGGGGAGATTAGCTATCACTGACAATTGGTTCTCATCACAATCCGCTTCCTGGCTGCATGCCGGCAGTGTGAAGGATTATTTCATATTACACTTTACATTTTGTCAGTGAGCAGCGGCGGTGACGTGACCTCAGGTTGAGTACTCAGATATATACAGGCATTAGATGGATAAGGCCCTGCAGATTTCCTGAACTCGGTGATGTGATGAGAGGAAGAAAAAGGGATTTGATTATATGAGAGATTTGGTGACAAATGTGTGTTGAATGCAAATGTAAAAGTGTAACTTAAAATGCAGGCGCATGAAAACTGGAGGAAAAGCTCCCTTTTACAAGTTTAATGTTTGAATATGTTTAACTTCCTTCACAGTTTGAAGAAAATCTGCATATTTTTCTGAGTAGTTTGTTTTTTGGTTTTGTGTATTTGAGCAAAATTTTGTGTCTTCCCAAAGTTTTCACACTGAGAACCTTTTTCCATTTTCCCAATATTTCCAGTTACATCATTGTATAGCCAATCTTATTTAAAGCAACTCACAGTCTGCTTAAATGTGTCTAGTTGTCACTGCTGAAAAAAGTACAGATTATTTAGCTGTGAAAGGAATTGATGTGTTACCACTTTATTATTTAACCATCTTTTTCTAAGTTTTGTATTAGTCACAAAAACAATTCATGCTGCCAGTTTCACTTAACGTTTCGAGCATTCTTCATGCAGAGGTGAGTGAAGTATGTGGATGGCTTAGCCTTAGTTATAACTGAGTCATTCCTACTCTAGTTGAGTCACAGTTGTATTGTTTCTGAATTACTGGTGGGGATGTGTGAAATACACGTGTGAGAAATGTGATGCTGAAATTTTTAAAATGCCAAATAAACCAAAGCCAGCTACCTGACATATATTGTCGTCAAATAATTTTTGTCACATTGTCAAATCTTCAGTATGGTGATGGTGGTGTTATTTTTCTGTCCAATGATGTCTTCCTATGTCATTGAAGTTTAAAGGACAAATACACAATGATGTGACAGAGATAATTTAGACAGATAAAAAAAAGTATTCACTTTGTGGCTAAAACATGAAAAATAAGGGTCAATCTTTCTTTAAGGTAGATTAGAAAAACAAATTGTTGAAAGCTTATTTTGTGCATGTCTCATCCAACAAAGGTCTGCCAGTTCTCATATGTGATGGGACTAGACATTTCCATTGAGATTAATTCTCTCTGATTCTCCTTTTCCAAAAACTGTCCATCAGAATTCCCCTGCTATCCCCACAAATCCCTCTGAGACCAGAGGAAATCTGAAAGTCAACTACTAATTACAGACCGACCTAATGCAGCAAGAAACATTTTTAAAAAGTATGAAAGAAAATTCTGTGTTAAGAGCTTTCCGGCATCACAGTGTCTGTCATTACTGAGCAGCTCTGAAGAAGAATTTACACACCAGGTATTCTGTGGGGACATAAAGCTTCCTGCTGGTGCATGTTAATTTTCATTGACGATCAAACTGATAAGGCAGCAGAAAAATTGTGTACTTTTTGTGCTTCTTCCACTTTGTTGTTTGACTTCATGTCAATCTGCCTCACAAAAAAACAAAAAAAAAAACACACAATGGACTAGTCAATGGCTTCAAACTGCTGCATCATGATACCTTTACTCTGAGACCAGTTTCCAACCAATTCGTTTGTTACCATTTTGGATATCATGTAAATTTATTATGAATGAATAATTAATGAGCTTAGTTTCTTTTCAAAGAGTTTTCACCCATAAAAGTCATCCCTGAAGTCATATTTGAAAGCTTCCTATTATGCGTTTTAATTACATTTTACTGATGTGTGACCTCCAGCAGCATTGCAGCACCCTGACATAATCCATCTCGGTAAATACCTCATAAAATAACCAAAGTATTTTCAAGCAGGGTTTCTCTGCAAAGAGAGAATGTGAGATGAAGTTAGAGTCAGAGATTCAGTATTGGGTGGATGGCTGGGTCAACAAAACTTTGGGTTTGAAGACACGGGTGCACTGTTTGGTGTAATTAGAAGTGTGTGGTGCAGCGTGTGGTCCAAGATACAGTGTAGCACAGAAGATGAAATCAAAAAGAGGAGGAGATAACAGAGAAAAGTTGCTTAGAGTAAAATTGAGGCTATGTTTTTGCTGAAAGCAAAAGCACTGAAAATGCAGGGTGATAAACTAACCTGGAACCGACATGAAAAAAAAAGGTGAAACAAGGAGGACAAAAAAGTTAAGACACCACTGAAAAGGAGACAGAGCAAACTTGGAGATGATGCAGGGATGGTGCCATTTCATTGACTTCAAAGGTCAAAGGTGAATTCTTGGATTCACATCTTGCCAGAAGTGTAAGAAAGATTTCTGGCAGAAAATATTGCAATTAAAAGGGTATATTTTGGAGCCACTTCCTCAATGTGGGGGTCAGATGAACCGAGCTCACCACAAATTCTAAATTAAGGCATAAGACATATGATTTTTTATTTGACATTATGTTTCCCGAACATAACAAAATTGCAGTGGTTCTGTCAGTGATAAATTAGATTCACTGTGGGAAAAAAATGCAGTATAATAAGTCATTGCTGAACAGTAGGTTTCATGATTCAATATTCTAAACATGAAGATGTCAGCATTGCAAGCCTCTTTCTGTTAGGACACCTAAGACGTTTATCTTTTTTCATGTTAGTCAGTATACTGTTAATGAATATTCAGTGATGGGTTCCACTAATGTCTTGGCCTGCTGGCAATAGAGCTTTGGGAAACTGTTTTAATGTCATATTGCTGTCGTTCTGCAGAATGTTCCCATTATGCGCATAATATATACTGTGGCTATGCTGATACACGTACAAATATTTAAAATCTCGGAGCTGCTGCGGGTTTAAAATGCATGCTGAAATTTTTAATGATGCCACAGTTCACATGTAACGTGAGATCTGAACAAAGGATGATATGTTCAACTAATTCCCACTGTAAGATAATTTGTTGCCGTTTGAAAAAGCGTTGGTTTATTTTTCTGTTTTTTTTTTTGTTTTTTTTTGTTCAATGTTTGTATCTGCTGATGGGTTCTGACACAAGTGTTTGGCAGGGAGTGCATGTTCTGATTGTGCTTGTACATAAAACACCAGACATTGAAATTGAGTGGGCAATCCTGGTGCTTCGGTGCAGTACAGGGTTTGATTTATTTGCATGTCTTAAATATCATTAGCTAAGAGTAACATAACTAGCTTCTCTCACTGTCAAAAAGATTAAATATAATTTACCATTCTGTTAGAAATTTACATAACCCCAGCATGAATATCCTAGTATAATAAAACTTTTAAGGACAAGTTTCAAATGTTCCACATCCATTCTGAAATATTTTTCACCAATCTGTGATAATTTAAACAAGATTTAGGTACACAAGTTTATTGGATTTTTTTTTCTCTTATTGAGAACCAAAGCTGTGTACACAGGCTGAAATTATATACATACATGTCCACCAGCATTTAGATAAATGCAGCTCACAAGCATCTGGTTCATTGGAAAATGGTGGAATACTGTGAGTTTGTGGAAAGGCACTTTTACCTTATGCTTTTGCATCAGATCTAATGCCTATCCAATCCAATGTAGACGGGTTTGCTGCGGCATAGATGTGCCAGGAAAAGACAAAACAACCATAAAAACACACCAAGGTCCACAAGCACGGATCCCCAAGCTGCTCCGTCTGTACTCACTGCCATTATCGATGACTGTTGGTTTGACTGTAATGCTTTGGTAAAGTTTTGGTAAACCCAAAGGAAATATTGCTACATGAAGAGTAAAGAAAGCATTTCCCCCACATTAATTTGAGCTTTTATGGTTATTAAATGGGAAAGATCTGAAAAAAAAAAAAAAAGCTTAGCCAATACTAGTGTTTATCAAAGAAGAATAAATACTTTTTGTCTCCACCATGGTGTCTTGCAAATTTTGTTCTAATGGATTTAGACTTTTCTGGAAAAGGTATGTTTGGCTCATTTAACCTGCGACTGCAGCTTTTTGTTTATTTTGCAAAGTGGGCTAGAATCCATATCCTTGCACTTTGCGCTCATTTTTTCAACTGTACAGAAAATTTAGATTTTCCTTTTTTTCATGGTGTTCTCATATTTTGTTTCTTCCCTTTGGCAATAAAATCTTGCTTGTGCCACCGGCTGTAAAACTAGTCGAAAGCATGATCTAGTGTATACTCCTTTGGGCTTTAAAGTAGGACACGGCTGTTTTTTTATTAGAGTCTCCGTCTGAAGTCATGTCTGCCACCACAGCTGTTTCAACAGTCGTCTTCAAAAAAAAAAAAAATCTGAAATGCAATTACCTTGTTAATTTATTATTTATTTTATTAATTTTTTTATTTGAGAACTGCAAAAAGGGAATTCAAATGGCTTGTTTCTGCTGTTGAGTATTGTGAAGAATCATATAATTTAACAGATATTTCAAAATATTTTTGTTAAATTTTTCTGAACATCTGAAAGCAGCTTTCTCTAAATGTTTTTATTATTTTTATTTTTCCCCCAGATTACATGACCTCCACTAATCCTGCTACCCGCTCTTTTCTTGATGCTTTTATTCAGGACACAATTTTTCAGAAAATGTTTTTTGCTCAAATGTCGAAAAGATTTTCTCACCCATAATTCTTCCAAGTGATTTTGGCCTGTTTTACTGTGATAAAATAAATATTGAAATATCTCGTTAAAATACTTATGTAAAATAGTCCTAATTATTTTTTTATGCGTTTTATGAGTTGACATTTGAACAAATCACACTCAGAAGGGTATCGCACATGATTAACTTTCTCCAAACCCAATCTTTTACAACCAGTGTGGGTGTTGAATAAATCCCTTTGCTTACTGATGGAGCATTATGCTTGTTCAGACTACATTACCCCCTTTTGGTGCAACATACAGGCTACGTGGTTTGGTCTAAGGAGAACTTTAAAATGGACTTGAGTTGTTAGGAAAACACCCCCACATGTCATGGGTATTTACATTTTTTTATGGTCCATGCCCATAGACTGTGTGTAAACAAAGTTTAGCAGGAACTTCCCCTGCTGAGGATAATTGATTTTCTTAACTTTAAAGGAATCATAAAGCTCTTCCATAAAGCAGACCGTTAGTCCTCTATTAGCTGGGGTTCAGTGTGCTTTCTTAGTCGATTTGCATATTAACGTAGTCGCTCTCATGCTCTCGTAAAAACAGAAAACAAACATGCTTGCATGCATCAGCCCACATATTTTCATATGGGACATCCTCTGGTGTGGAAAAAAAAACTGAAAAAAGACCAATTTCTATTTCATTATGAGGAATTTGTGGGGGAATTGTACATTGTTTATCATGTGTAATGGGCTCTTGTGCTAGTCTGCCCTCTGTTCCTATTTCTCCTGATGTGGGTGAACAATTTAACTGTGACTTTATTCTGCGCCTTATAATTTATTTAATGCCGGCTTTGTTTACAGTTTGGCTTTTCTCAGACAAGGATTCTGCGATTTGGTTGTGCAGCTACAACCTTCCTGAGTCTCATTTTCACATAGGCCTTAATAAAGGGTTTCCATTTTATGGTAACCCGCAAAAGAGATTTTTGTGTATTTTTCGCGATTGGGTGCATTTGTAAAAAATAAAAATGATCTTCCTCTTCTCAATTATCTAGTACCTGAACTTAAGTTTCAGTATAGCAGAGGTCAGTGTTGGTTGGTTTGTCAGAAGAATAAATAAATCATTGAGGGTTGTGGTTTTAATCCGACAAAAACAGAAAATTATCAGCTTTGGCATTTTGTCTCACATCTGAAAACTTGGATTCTTACCAGAGCAATGTTTCCAATGTCTTAAACCATCATGAATTTTCCATTTGCACTTCATAAGAGCAAATTTGATGGCATGTGATGCATTCTCGGCAAAAAACATATCTGAAAAGCTGTTAAACTCTTGTTGAGGCCACAACAAAAGCAGTAGTTGAAGGACTCAACATTATTTCGCCAGACAAATGCAACATTTTTTAGCTTTATGAAACTCAGAAGTTTGGAATTTGATTTATTCTGACTGAGCATCTTTGCAATGGTGAATGAATGTCATCTTTTTTTTTTTTAAAGAGGCTTTTCTCATGATGTAATATTTTTGTGTTGTCCTAACAAATTATTTTCTTCTCTCTCCTTCTTCCAGAGGATGAGCTGCAGCTACCTGCTCTGCACCATCCTTCTCTTCGTGGCCGTTCTGTTGGCCGTCACCGTAACTGGCACCATCCTTTTCATGAACCACTACCAGGCCCCGCCCATGTCGGACGGCCTACCCCATATTTCCACCAATCAGGATGAAGCAAACGCCCTGGTCACCGTGGAGAGGGGCGACGGCTCTCGCATCAACATCTTCATCGACCCCAACTGTCCCGACTATAACAGCAACTTCATGCGGCTGGAGGGTGTGCAGACCTCACTGCTCCACTCGCTGACTGACCACGACTCTGACCTGAAGTCGGTCAAAGGTCAGGACAGGGCCCTGCTGGTCAGTCTGGCTGAGGAGGTGGCCAAGCTTTCAGCCCATGCTGGACAACTGAAGATGGACTACGAGTCTCTGCGCCGGGGGCAGAGCAGTCTTGGTCAGGACCTGAATACTCTACAGACAGAACAAGGACGCCTCATACAGGTAGGACACCTATAGACCAGAGAAGGAAACACTCTTTAGATTCAACTTAGATCCCTGAGCTAAAGAGTTGAGACACTTTTTAGACTCCTGGCCTAAGACTAGAGCCATGTTTAGATTGACATTCTGTGCCGTGATTCACTGCTACTCATGTTTGTCTGGGAAAGGATGCGCTTGATTATAAAATAGTTTAGTTGGTATTTTATGGGCTGTCAATGCGCATAGATTTAATGAGAAAATTGTCATTTAACTCAGTAGCCACTTAAGATATGACTGTGAATTAGGGTGAAAAACTTGAGTTGGCATGGTCTTGGCCATCAAAACTTTGAGACTTTTCTGGAACCTGGAAAAATGACTTGGAAACATCTTTGCTATACCCACACAAATCAAAATACATGCAATACATGCAAATACATCAAAATATATGCACAATATTACATCATGCATGTACTTTGTACTAATATCCCAAAACGAAGAACATATATCATTTTTTTTAAAACTCAGTTGAACTAGATAATAAAACTGAAAAGCAACTGTTAAAGCAGCAATTTATCTGGAACTACTTCATGCCCAGCAGTTTAACTTTACTTACGTCAGCATTAAATTTGAATCATTTGAGAAATGAACACAAGAAAAGCAAACAATGCATTTGACAAAGGATGCTTTAACAGTTTTCTTAACCATTTTTGAAGAGGTGTTGGACAAACTAAGCTCTGAAGAAAACCAAAAGCTCTTTGAACAGAAGAATATCTATTGAGTAGATAAGATGTAATAGCATTCGAAACATTAAAAGCTGAAGACTAGTTTACTCTTAAGCAGAATATCAGCTTAGTTTTCCGAGTAAAACTAATGGGTTGTGAATAAGACTGTTATGACACCATCATAAACATGATGTAACACCTGTCAAGAAATTATGATCTTTACATTTTTAAAGATGGACACCAGCTCCGCCAATGACCCTGCAAGGATATGTGAGAATGAACAGATAATGTTAAGTCCAGCAATCCATATTTATTTTTACTTTATCTTCCCACACACTGCAGGGAAAATAGTGCCATTTCCTTCACGGATACTTAAATTTTGTTTTTGAGGTTAAGTCACAGACCAACACTTTAAAGATCGTCATTTGAGAAAAATATGTTTTTTTTTTAGAAATAAACTATGTAAGACATTTTTTGTTTGTTTGTTTTTTACTTTTTTGCAACCCTTGTCCTTTCTGGTGAATTCTGATAAAAAAAAATTTAAAATACAAAAATAATAATAAAACACAAAAAAACACAAGTTAGCACTAACCATTCACAGCTCAATTCGATTCTTTAAGTAATATTCAGAGGAGCTCTGAGGTGCGGGATGTAAAATGCTTATCGATGCATATTGATTGTGAGGCTACTTTAAGATGTGTGGAAGCCTATTGCTCTGGAGCATTTTCTGTGGGTATATTTGTGTTCCTTTCTCCCTTCTGCAAGCTCAAAACATGATCGTTCCCTGAGTCAATGCCAACTTGAGCGTGTCCGTTTCGTTTTACACCGCGATTGCCCAGCTGCAACGAAATTAAAGCACAAATAGAGCTTATGTTTCTCCAGGCTCATGTTCCTCTTAATGTAACTCTCCCGGCCTTGCATTCGAAGGGGAAATCGCTGGGGAAGAAATGTCCATCATGTTTGAAGAAAAACCTGCAACTCGCACATTAATTCGATAAGATAACATAATGCTTCCCGAGATGGATGCAGCCATAATTAAAGCCCCTTTAGTTTTGCACTGTCCAGACTGATTTATTGATGACACATATCCTGAATATCTGTGGTGATTTTTCATGCTACATGCTCCTTTAATCCTGTCAGGTCAGCTAAGGCCTGCGCTCCATCATAAATAGATAGAATGGCGTAGGTGGCACCTTGCTGCCAGCCATGCATCTGAAGCAATTGAATTCATTTGCCAATCGTTTCTTAAAGCCAGAGTCCCATCGCTTTTTAATCAATTCATGTAGAAAAGCTTAAAGGTTGGTTTGTTGGCAAACAAGTGTTTGGAGACTGAGCGGTAAAAGCAGTGAGCTGCTTTTAATTTGTGGAATGGTGTAGGTGGCACGGGGCAGTGGGCAGGGCGTGTCGAGGTGGTACCAGCAGCAGCTTACACACTCCAGGTGATTGATTTGCTCTGTGGAAGCAAGGCATGTGGTGCACACATCCGCTATTTCAGCTTGACACCATGGTGTGACTGTGTGATCTATGGGATACCTGTGGCCAGGAGTTCTGATTTATAAGATGGCACACTGCTGAATGTGCTATGCACTGCAGCCCTCTTTCTTACAGAAAAAAAAACTAAACAAAAAAAACTCACCCTGCCTTACAGGGATAAGCCCGTCCACATCCCCCTGAGGTGGGGTGTAGGAGAATCTGATTGCAGTGGGTTTGGGGGAAATGTGATTTTATTGTTTAAAAAAAGACATACTCATCTTTCATTTGAAGAGAAGTGTGCTGACATATTTGCGAATGGATAAATCACTCTGATGATAAAACTATTCCAGCTGAGGCTTGGATCACAGAGTGATATACAAGGGCATCCATGTTTTTTAAAGACCAGTTGGTAATTTTGTTTACTTCATAAAGTTAAACCATAATAATGTAAAATATCTCTTCCTTTTGTTTTAAAGGAAGAAAAGGACTTTTGCGACTTTACAACTTAACCTACCAAATTGTGATTACAAAATTTCAATCCATAAATACTTGAGCTTTTATTGGTGAAGACTGTTTGAAATTGTGTTTTAAATAATTTCAAACATTATTTAAAATGTTTTAAATAAATAATATAACAATTGAATAATTGAATAACAATGCAGAATTTAGCTTTAATTGATTTTAAAGTTCAATTAACAGCTTGAGCTTTAAAATCAAAGTTCAAGCTGTTAATTGTTTTACTTCAGGTGTGTCAAGTTTGTCACCCAAGTGTGTGATATTGTGTAAAATACAGAACTAACAGCCTTGACTGTGAATGCAGCACTTAAAGTGATATGTGTGTGTTCTGCTCGACAAAAACTTCTGAAGTGAACTCTAATCACATTTACACCCATTGAAAGCTTTTTTAAAAAATAGATTTAAGAAACATGACCTAAATCTCTTCAAATAGTGAATAAATAAATCCCTACATTTTTCTTTAAATATGATTATTTCTTTGTGTCATTTATAAACTCAAAAGGTCCATTTAAGTCTGGTACAAACATGTATCATGGCTAATCCAATTGGTTCTAAAAATTGGCAGCAAAATTATTATTATATATGGTCAGAGTAACGTATAATATTAGCTCAGAAATATTTTTATTAATTTAAAATAGCCATAGTCAGCAAAAAATACCCGTCAATTTCTGGTTCACTATTGTGACGACTCATGCAACATATAAGATTGGAGTGAGCTACTGAGCTAAACACAGGTTAATAGAGTAACATTATCAATTTATTCCGTCAAATTTACAAACATGAAAGATTCAGCAGTTCTCATCGAAAGGATTAGAAAAATATCAAGACTTAGTGGACGTGTACATATATAGAGTAACATCTATTGAAATTATAATACAATCCATTACAAATTAATATAACAGGAACTACAAATCTTAATATTCCCACCACTATTTCAGTTTATATTTTAGTTTTTTTTTATTATTATTATTATTGTTTGTTTCTAATTGTCTTGTCAAGTTTATATATTGTGTTCTTTGTTTTACTAGACAAATGAGCATAAATGTGACCCAGACAAGTTATCTGTGTTCTAATCTCAGTTCTTTGCTTCTCAAATTTTGCTGCAATTATGACCGGATTATAACGCCACTCAATTTCTGCCCATTGTGCGGTACTCTGTATGCACTGAGAAAGATTTTTTCTCTCAGATGTCGAAGTTAACACAAAAACTGCTCTACATCAAAAATAACCCTCCGAATGGTATCTAGGACTGAATCGTACCTCCTTCATTCCAGTATGCACACACTCACTCTCTACGAAATGGGGATGCATCAAAATGCATACTTGAAAGTCATGGGATTTGTTCCAAAAATGTAAAATGCATTTTTGACATCAAAATACAAAGAAAACAGGAAACACTGTGACAACAGTTTTGGCATCCACCAAAGAACCACTTAGTTTTCTAAGGTAAGTCTGTTTTTAACAGCTCTGTGATCACATCCTCTGCCCAAACAATGCTAAAATTTATTTTAAAAAGAGGAGGAAACTGAGGTCTAAACTCGCCGAGAACCAACTTCTCATTCTTTCATGACGTGCAGCGATGCACACAGTCTGACTGCAAAATCACTTTCGCGGAGGCAAAGGCCGCAAGGAGGAGCATGAGTTACTGATTTCCTTGAACTACAGGTCACAGTTTAAACTGAATGATGTGCCTGAGGATTATTAATGTTTTAAACAAGTGGCACTTGCAACCCCTGCTAAGGATCTGGGGGCAAACTGCTGGTAAGCGAGAAAACCATATTGCCTCGAGACACTCATTCTTCCAGGCCCAAGTCCTCTGTGCGCTTGTGAAAGTAAAATTGTGCTTGCTGCAAGGTCTCAGCCAAGGATATGATACAAACAACTTCAAAAGCTCAGTAAGAAAAAGGAAAAAAAAATGTGGGTAATAAGAAAACTCAAATTTGTAAACATGAATTTGTGACTTCAAAGATTCAGCAGCTTTTGTCCAAAGGAAAATAAATATCAAGACTTAGTGGAAGAGTAACATCCATTGAAATTATAGTACAATCCATTACAAAGTAATGTAAAAGGAATTACAAATCTTAATATTCCCACCACTATTATATGCTCAGTTTCTATTTTAGGTAAATGGTTTTTATTATTCTTTGTTTGTTGTCAAATTTATTTCATTTTTTCTTTGTTTTACTTTTTTCTTTCTATTTACAATTGCCATCAGGCATTTCCTTTCTTTATTTCCCAGTATGAAATATGATGACTTGCAGGTTTCTTGATAGCTGATGCTTTGTTTTTATCTGCATTTTGTCCCCAAGGTCC